CTATAGAAGCCTATAACATAGACCAAATATGAAATGTACATTTGATTGTGGCTAGGCCGTATGTCTGTGTCTTTAGTGACGTTTTGAATTTCAATGAGCGTAATCTATGTATTACTGGTAAAAAGTAAAAAACAAAAAAACCAGAACTCCAAGGAAAATTTAAATCGGAAAGTTCCTTATCAAATGGCAAAATAAAAAGCTCAAACACATCAAACGAATGGAAAACTATTTCTCTGTCATATTCCTGACTTGGTAGAGGCATTTCCTTATGTAGAAAATGGTGGATTAAATCTGGTTTTATAGCTCGCTAAACCTCTTACTTGTATGTAAATTATCTAGTCAGGGATTTTGTTATAAAAATTACTATAACCTTCATTTAATTCTTCCATAGATAAAAAGATTTGGTTTGCAAGTCTGGCTGTACCGGTAAAAAACTTTTTTTCAGACGGAATGGCATCATCCTTTATTTTAAAGGTGATGTTGTTTACCGAGCTCGGAAATGTATATACGATCCGGGTAAACTTATAAATCCCCTAAATAAACTTATTTTAAAATGTTACCTATTCAACACTGTAATTAGATCTTTGAATATTGTTTTTATTCGTAGATATATTAATTTTGTTATCAGTAATTTAAAATCATACTTAATAGTTTGTTATACACATATGCACTTTCACGGTACTACAGGCTCTAGACTTTTACTCGGTACCTTTATTTTGGCATTGCACCAGATCATTTTTTTTTTCTCTGACTGTAAAAGACGTCTTAACACTAAATTCATTGGATGTTGCATGTGTACTGATTTATATTTTAGTCTTAGATGCATGATTTGTTTTATAAGTTGTTATTGGCTTTAAACTAGCTGTCAGTAACTGAAAGTACTCTCAGATCTGTACTTATTGTCTTTTTTGTTGTTAGGGATGAGGGATGGATAAATACCCTGCTCCGTCCGGTCTGTGATTTTGTTTGATGTTTTTCTGATTGTGTCGATCTGATAACTTAAGCCTTTTTCTTCTAATTTTTATAGTTTGTTCTTATGTTGTGCTGTTACACCACTGTCTCAGTTTAGTTACGGGGAGGGTTGAGCGCTCACAAACATGTTTACCCCCGCAACATTATTGATGTGCCTGTCCAAAGTCAGGAGCCTGTAGTTCAGTGGTTGTCGTCGGTTTCATGTCTGTCATATTTGTGTTTCGTAAATTGTTTTGTTATAAACTATGCCCTTAATTTTCTCAATTGACTTGTTTAATATTGGTTATGTAGGGGCCTTTTAAAGTCGACTATACGGTATGGAATTTTCTCATTGTTGAAGGCCGTACGATTGGCTGTAATTTCTTACATCCACGTTATTTGAACTTTGGCGGATAGTTGTCTCATTAACTATCATACCACATCTCCTATTTTTTATAATAAATATATTTGTTTATAAACAGTAACAGTTGGATACGAGTACATTTTAAGATACATCAATATTAATCAAAGAAACGTTTTGTATGGCGTATATAACTATGTATATTTCTGAAAAGGATAAGGTTTTGTTCAACAATAATTTCGTCTGTTCCAATAAAATATGTTCTATGGAAACTAAGTGTTGGATATTTTCAAAGAGCTGATTTCTAAAATTTATGAATGTAAAAAGTACTAGGTTTCACAAATTTTCTTGACCATGCGAATACTTTATTAAACCAATCATCGATTAATAAAGGCATGTAACATATAATGATTATAAATAAACATACGTATAGAAACAATGGTGATAAAGCCAATGATAATATGACGTTAACTATAGCTGTTGTTTTCATTTTGTCATGATTGTGAAACGTTTAATTTTATGATCATTTCATAAGGAAACAAATCTTCAATTGAATTTACAAAATATACAAATTTTGATATATTTGTCAATCGTTTTCTAACAACGACCCTGCTTAATAGCTCATTTATGAACACTTATCAGTTGTATAAGGTGTTTACTAGTATCAAACTTCTTCATGACATTTTGATAAGCCTCCCTTTTGAAAATTTCTTGAAATTTTAAATAAGTTTTCAATTTACTCTTTCCACTATATCATCAGCTATTTATTCATAAATAAACCAACAGCTAACCAACAGCCGGATTTAAACTAAAACAGTAATTGAAAATCACCAACAACAACCAAGAGACACACTAATACCTTGCAGGTCAACCCTACCCTAACTTGTTTTACTGAAAGGAAGGGTGAAGCCCAATTTCAATTGTAAAGAACAATATTTCTTTCAGAGAAAAATATCAATTAGTACCCCCCAATGGAATCAGTATAACAATGTCAAAACCAGACTGAGAAAAGCATGACTCCGATTGTTTGTAAAGGATTGTTTTGCAAATGGTCATGCTTGAAACATATTAATGAACTTAGCATATAATATATTATAAGTAGATATATACGTGTAAGATAGCTTTGTGGAGAAATTCCCATACGATGGCATTATTTTTTTAATTTTTCATAATCTTCAAGATTGACATACAGACATGACTGCTAATTGATGTATACTGATAAAATTACATACATCAACTTATTTGTACATGTAATCAGTAATCACGGAACTGTTACAATTACTGGATATGGACACAATGAGTTCTACAACTGTCCCATTCCACTAAACAGCAAGCTATAAAGGTCCATTAAGAGACTAGTGTAAAACAATTAAAAAAAAAAAACAACGGTATAATCTATATAAAAAACGAGAAACGAGAAACAATTATGAACCACACCAACAAACGACAACCACTGAACAACAGGCTCCTGACTTAGGACAGTTGCAAACAAATGCAGCGGGTTTGAACGTTTTAAAAGGCGCCGACTTTCACCCTAACCTGAAATAGTAGTGTAACATTACAACATAAAAAGACACACTATAAAATATCAATTGAAATGACTGGATCAAAAAGACATATAAACAAAAACAAGTAAACATACACTGAACGAATAAGTTTGATCTATTACACAATATAAATGCAATATTAATAAAAAAAAAAAATGTAGAACAATGTCAAAAAGACAACTTTAACCTAGGACAAAATGGGAGTGAATGTTTAACAAAAAACTATACAGGTCGAGTATAATTTACCATAAGAAATTCATTGTTTTTCTTGTTTTAATAACATGTAACAAAACACTTTCGCTTATGAATCTATTATTAGAGGTAATGGAAAAAATGTGTTTGATCCTTATAGTTCTCAACTGAGTATGATTGTTTGTTTAAATATTGTTCATCTGTAGTGACCTTTGTTTTCGGATAGGCAACATAATTCTAAAGGATGTAGAGGTACACCCTTGGTGCATTATTTAGATTTTAATGTGTGATATGGTTTCTGAGAAGCTGTAGGTATATATCTCTTGTATCGCTTCATTATGTTCCACTGTGGTTGACAAATTTAACATTAGTTCAACATAAAAAAAATATGAAAAGTTAGCCTAGGATTATCCCAGTATGTGTTTAAATATTTGAGAGAGTTTCTAAGAATATGTGTGTATTTTTTTCTTAAAGTTTCTGTGTTAAACTGTGTTCAACAGTAGTGGTCATTTTGAATTTGAATTTGCATTGTTCCTACAATATTTTGAATGAATATGCAGACAAATTCTTAAGAATATCGTTGCAATTTCAGGTACTTGTACCTAGGTGAATTGGCTTCAAATATGAGTCGCAAGAAAGATTTTGCAGAAAATTAAAATCTGAATCTATACAAAAAGTGTTATTAATAAAAATAGGAGTATGAACTTGGTTGACTAGACATTTTGGATGAATCGAAATTTTCCCGAGGTCCCGAACTTTGTTCTATATAAATATATGTTTTTGACACCTGTTGAGTCAAAATTGGATGAGTCGCAATTTCGAATTATTCAAACCAAATTAACGGTACCAACGTTTTAAAAAGCATTTAAATTACAGTTGTTTTTTTATCTCGAACAAATACACATATGTAAAAAAACATGACTTCGGGGTTTTAAATTGATTGACGTGTTAATATAATCTAACAATTTTCTCAACTCTCCTGTATACGCGAATGAACAACTTAAATTCTTAAAACCACACTAAGATTGATTGCAAATTGTTCTTTTGGCTAAATTTTGACTGTACAAAGAAATGACCTCTAGACAAGAAATAATTATTCGATAAAAGTTAAAACAATGTAATATAATTTTAATAGTCTGTTGATCCTTGTGATTGTCGTCCCTTTACATAAATATCATGTATAAATGAATGCCAATTTGTACTTGGGACTTTTCAGTAGGCAGTACATATGGTTCAAATATGTGTCAAGAACGCTTTACATTATGTAGCAGTTATTTCTCTGTATTGGATTATGCTTTCTCTTAGTTGGCTACATTGCAGACGACAAATGTTTGGTTCAAATGCCAAAAAAAAAAAACGAACCACGACTGAAGGAGAGGGAGCAAAATTACCTCTACGATATACATTTTGGAAGACATGTCAATGCTAATACAACTGCATACTTAATATCATTGACTTATCATAATAGGTTCCCTTAAACGAGAGGGTAAATAGATTGAGGGTTCACAATTATATCGTTTTCAATATTTTAGAACCACGATTGTATTACCTCTGCATCTTAAGCATAAAAACTAGACAAATGGCAATATATGATATCCCATTAGTGTTTTGTCATAAATATCTATTTAATGTATCTTGTATATTCGCGCCAGCTTATTTATTGACTGATCATACAAACAGTAAATATAATTCTTGATGATTTTTCAGGGACTATTATTACTTATTTTTATATCCCCTTCTGTTTCCTATTCGATGTTTTTATAATTAAATACTAAAAGCAGGCATTCTCAATTTTAAGTGATAATGTACAGTTTCTTGCCTTGTCCACCATGCACCTAAATTCTTTTTTGGTGAATGTATTCTTGTTGGTGTATGTCCTTGAGTATAATTCGTGTAAATTTTGGAAAAGAAGCAAATACTTACTTTGAATATACATTTTCAATTTGCAGGTGGTCTTGATATAACAGCATCACGGACGACGTATTCAGCAATAGTTGGAGATTCTATTGTTACCATACTGTGTAATATAAACGGGACACCACCGGCTATTGCATGGGACTGGACAAAAACATCAATTTCTGGAGGCAATTCTGAAATAATATCTCAAGGGACAAATAATGCACGAAGACAAGTTATCAATTCTGCAACCAAACCCAATTTAAATATATATAGCATGACAGAAGACGATGAAGGTGTTTACAGATGCAGAGCTAATAATGGGGAGCGACAATATATAAGTGAACCTGTAATACTAAAAGTGCAAGAAGGTAATATGTTCGTTCTTTCCTTTCAAACTTTCACATTCAGTCATCTATTGGAGTTAACATTTTTTTTTTATTTGTACTTAACAGCACACACTTGGTAACGCCTAATGGTAAATAAGAGGCCTAATAAATGTCGTCATGTATTCATCATGCTCTTGTAATAAGGTTAAGGAATTTGCCTCTACAAAAGGCTTGTAAAATTGAAATCTCAAATGTTTTATTTCAAATAGACATGAAGTATTTTCCAATGCCTTTTTACCGGTTATGAATTACTAGTACTAGTGTAATAAGGCCGGACGTTAACATGTACATATGTAGGTGTTAAGAATATTGTCAATTGGTCTTTGGTAAATAGTTGTCTCAGTGCCAATCTTTCCACGTCTCTTGCTTTTTATATTTATCAACAGTAAGACGACTTGTGTTACATGTACTAGTTGAGGAAGAAATAATTTCCATTCTGACCGTTTTACTAGAAATTTCTTCTTCCATCTTTAGTATTCTCTGATTTTATTGGCCATTGTTTTTTCTGATACTTTGTTCTTGGTTAATGATTTTTTCTTATCTTCATGGACGTTTTGTTGATGTATTTTCAACTTCGTAATCCTTAGCCATTGCATGCCTATGTATCTTGGGCATTCAAAGTAGATCAATTTATTTGTTAAACAAACTGAAGGATCAACGTAGTAATTGCATATTCCTTTTCAGGACATGATGCAACAAATGATGCATTACAATTGTAACATTCGTTTTTAGAATTGATACGACATTTTTGTCCCGTGAAAGCAGTTAGTTCTATGATTAGTTATTCGGTTACAAATTTCAAAGGTTCATGTTGACCCAATGACTTTGACTTGATAGAAATTTTTAAAAACGTTGTCGGTTTTCGAAAATTTCTTAAAAGTAAAGCACAAGAGAATCATAAGCATAAGTCAACAAAAAGACAATAATTTAAAAACTGAATGAAGAGCAGATACGATGATCATTTAATGCAAGTATGCTTACAAAGTGTTCCACTACTTATATTTCAGTGCTTTTAACTACTTCCTTATACTTTATCAAAGAAATTATCTTTAACTTTTGTTATAAAACATATGAAAACAGTGGAATTAACTAATTTTGGTGTGCAAAATATTCTTTAGATGTTTTAGATAAATTTTATACTTATGATGATCCTTTTGATTCAGTTGACAGGTTTGACTTTTTCCTTCTTTAGAATACTCCGTCATACAATCTTATCAAACAAAAGATATCCTATTTGATTAACACGTGGTTTGAAAAATCTGATTTACAAATGTATTTTCTGCAGCTCTTACTAAGCTTTTTATCTACTAAGAAGTGAGTATGGTAATATAAACAGCAGTAGTTGTCCTTTTTTAGATTAAGACATTTAAATTTCTAAAGGGAAACTCCATACAAAACTTTACGACAAAAGAGACGATTTTTCATTCCCTATTGTTAATTTTCATTTTTTAGACGGCGATATTCCTTTGGCTCCATCATACGGTGTTTATATATCTCAACTCGTTCGTTATGCCCGTGTATGTAGTGATGTCATAGATTTTAACGAACGTAATCAATGTATCACTAGTAAATTATTAAGTCAGGGATTTCGTTACCATAAATTTCTTAAAACATTTACTAAATTCTTTCATAGATACAAAGATTTGATTAGTAAATTTGGCTGTACCTGTAGAAAACTTATTAAAAATGGTATTTCACATCCTGAATTTTACAGTAATATTGTACTAAAAGCGCGGAAATCACTATGTGATCCGTGTAAACTTATCGAACCATTGAAACAAACTTATTAGTAAAGGTTATCTTATTAATATTGTAATAAGATCTTTGAATATTGATTTCATTTGCACTAACATCGATTTTGTCATAACAAATTAAAACATAACTAAATGTGTATTCTTTTCGAATGTTTTTTTTTGGGATGTATATATACACATCCACGTTTATTTTCTATTTAGGGGGGCCTCGGTGGCCAAAGTCTAAGTAGTTCTACTACTGTAATCACTAGCCAGTCAACACTGAGGTTGTGAGTTCGAACCCCGCTCGTGCGGGTGCACTCGACTCCAATCTTAATTGACTAGGATTGACAGTTTTCCTTTCGAAGTCGGTGGTTTTCTCCGGGCACTCCGGCTTCCTCCACCAATAAAAACTGGCTGCCACGAAATAGCCAAAAAGTGGCGCTTAAAAGTAGCGTTAAAACACCAACAATCAATCAATCAATTTTCTATTTAGAAATTGTTTTATCTATACATAACATTATACATATTTATTATAAGGTTAAATCCTAACTATCCTACTGCCTGTCGTCATTTTATTTTTGCATTGCACAAGTCATGTCTTCTTTGACTGTTCATGGCGTTAAAACACTAAATCCCTGCCTGGGATGTGTTTTAATTGATTTTAGTCTCTGATGCATGATTTTTTATTATTAATTGTTGTTGGCTTTTAGCTAACTTTCAGTTACTGCGAGTACTCTCAAATCGTAATTTCGTGTTAATATGACCTATTGACACAATTTTTAATGCATTTCTGTTATTCAATGTTTACTTTTTTTGTGTTATATCTCGTCTTACTATTTTTTTACCACTTTTGATAAGTATTTAGTTTGACGAAAAAAAATTTCACTTCTGTACTCGTACTATGAATAACAAATTTGTTTTGTAAAAAATGTTTCTGTACTCCTAACAACAAAATTATTATATTTAAATTAACCAGTGTACGTTACTTTATTTAACGCCATTTTGTCCTAGGTTAAAGTTGTCACTGACATTGAAACATCTTTTTTATTTATATTGTGTAATAAATCAAACTTATTCGTTCAGTGTATATTTACTTGTTTGTGTGTATTGTCTTTTTGATCGAGTTAAGCCATTTCAATTGATATTTTATAGTGTGTCTTTTTATGTTGTAATGTTATACCACTGTTTCAGGTTAGAGCGAAGGTTGACGCCTGTTAAAACGTTTAAACCCGCTGCATTTTTTATGCACCTGTCCTAAGTCAGGAGCCTGTTGTTCAGTGGTTGTCGTTGGTTGGTGTAGTTCATAAGTGTTACTCTTTTCTTGTTTTTTATATAGATTAGACCATTGGTTTTCCTGTTTGAATTGTTTTACACTAGTCTTTTTGGGGCCCGTTATAGCTTGCTGTTCTGTGTAAACCAAGCCTCCGTGTTGAAGGCCGTACTTTGACCAATAATTGTTTACTTTTACATATTGTGACTTGGATGGATAGTTGTCTCATTGGCAGTTATACTACATCTCTTATTTATAGATATACTTACTGAATATGTGATAAGTTAAATACAGCTGTAAATTTTCTCCTTGACAACATTTACGTACGTCTCGGCTATCAAGTTTATAGGTATTCTTATAGGCACCAAATGTGTTCCTTAAATAACAAACTTATTCCTGTACTGTTATAAATTGCAGTGTATGACAATCCTCAGTAAAAGCCCTTCTAAATTCTATTTGATTGATAAATTCAATAACACCTACCGTTTATCGTGATGATATTGTTTCGAACAATAATAAAGAATTCTCTAAATTTACTGCCGGAATTTACCCAAAGGAACTTTCTTTTAATAAATAAAATATTAAAAGCAACGTCTGTCCTTTCCTAGATTAGGATATTTCAGTTTCACACAGGACACTTTACACAAAAATTGACGACAAAAGGGACAATTTTTCTTTCCTTATATTTGATTTTCCTTCTTTTGGACGGTGCTGTTCCTTTGGCGTTGTTTTACGGTGCTTATGTATCCCAACTCGTAGTGACGTTTTGGATTTCAATGAGCGTAATCTATGTAACACTGGTATATTATTAAGTCAGGGATTTCGTTACAACAGATTACGAAAGAATGAGTTACTTGAAACCTTTACTAAATGCTTCCATAGATAAAAAGATTTGGTTTGAAAGTTTGCCTGTACCTGTAGAAAAACGTATTTCAAACGGAATAGCACATCTTATTTTACGGTGATGTTGTATACGAGCCCGGAAATTAAGATACGATCCGGGTAAACTGATTAATTCTTTAAATCAATTTATTCGAAAGGTTACAGATTCAACACTGTAATTGGATCTTTGAATATTGTTTTCATTGGTATAAATATTGAGTTTGTTATCTGTATTATAAACCATACTAAATATCATCGTGATACACATATGTACATTCACGGTACTACAATCTGTCGATATTTTCCTTTCGTGACCTATAGTTTAGTGTTGCACAAGGTCATGTTTTTCTTTGACTGTAAATGACGTCTTTATACTAAATCTACTGAATGTTGGTTGTGTACTGATTGATATTTGAGCCTTAGATACATATTATTTTTGTTAGTTGTTATTGGATTTGGACTAGTTGTCAATGTTAAATTTGAGACTACTATTTTAGCATCCTTTAGAAAAGTTCCAGGTGAACCTCAAACAAATAACGCGTTAGAAATTGAAGAAGGAACAACAGTAATTCTTTCATGCAGTTCTTCAGGAGGAAATCCTGCACCATCAGTTGTTTGGTTAAAGGATAATATTTTAATTAATGATGGTACTAACTCATCCAGATTTGGAAATGAAACAACAACAACATTGACCTTTGTAACGACCTCATATGACGATCTAGAGGTATATGAATGCCAGGCGGATAATGGTTTTCTCCAGAGACCACTTGTGAAAACCACATATCTAGTATTAAACCGTATGTATTGTCACTTTTTTAAACATTAATCTCTATCTAATGTCTAGACAATTGTCTTATAAAAAAATATCGTATGCTCATATAAATTTATCTTTCGATTTTTTTGTGACTTTCGGACTTTCGGACTTTTGTGATTAGTAACGTGTACCCGTATTTAACGTTATGAATACTTATCGTTATCTGTCTATCGTTCAATAGTGGTGTATGACGATATTATGAAATATAAAAACGTTTATTTTATGGTTTAAATATTCAAGGAAAAAGGTGGTAGCAAATTATGTCTATGTTTATATTAAAATTTAAAGATAAAGATCAATTCAGAAAAGTGTTTTGACACACAAAATGTTATATTACATGAAGTTGCATACAATATAAAAGCCATCTTGCAATTAGAACGTAGCAAAAGTTAGTTTAAATTGGTTTCCTGATAACGCTGCTTAGATTCCATTGGCTTAAATGAGTTAATGAAGTGGACATGTTTACGTAAAGGAGAAGAAATAAGACAGGGGAGATCAAAATCCTGATTGAATAAATTAATATTACGAGTAATCCAGCCTGGTCTATGAATATTATTGCTATCGGATCTAATTTCTAGAAAAGATATCATGTGGTTAACATCTACATGATCTAATTAAGATGTCAAAATTGTATTCTGGTAGCTAGAAATATAGAAATGGATAATGAGTTTCATTTGAAATATATGTATGATAGGGATTTTCGAATAAGGCAAAACATGAATTGAGTGTTTTTTCAACCATCGCTGGACATTTCTATAAATGTTTTTATGCTGATGTTCCCTAGTTCACCCTCCTGTAGAAGCGCTTATAGTTTTAATTTATACTTTTATTATTACATAATTATTTACTTTAATCAACATGATCAACCTGCATTGTGAACACAATTCGTTTTATTTACATTATTTTCCAATGTCTGATGTTAATTATCAACATACTACATACGATTCTAAGTAAGATATAAAAGAGAGACGGAAGATACAAAAGGAATAATCAAACTCATCAGTAAGAGACAAACTGCAAACTGACAACACCACGAAAGTATAAAAAAACGACCAAAAGACTGACAACAGTATAAAAAATACAGAATAGAAATCTAAAGAATGAACAACACGAATTACCAGGATTGATCTTAGGTACTCCGGAAGGTATGCAGATCCTGTTCCACATATGGCTGTCATTGTGTTGCTCAAGTAACGACAAACTATGTGATAAGTTTAGTTAGGTGATGTAAATTCGAGGAAAAGAGGACGTGGTTTTAGTAACTACGATCGAAACATAATTGTCGTCATCTGTGAAAAGATATTCCATTATCGTCGACTTATTCGCAATGACTTTCGTAAAAATTTCGAGGTGATGACCTTAACTTCACAACTTGGAACCTATGGTTTAATAGCTTAATAGCTTGCGTAATAAGCAACCCTCTATCAAGGAAATCATGATTCGAAACGCAAACTCCGGAATATCATATAAACTCAGACATAAATTGCTCGATCTGTTTATTGGTGTGTTTTCGCGGTGCTGACCCATGTATATTAGTCCATTATAAGCTATTTATTTATTATCGTGAAAGAAATCTGTTAGGTTTTTTTTTAAATTAAGAAAGTTTGGAGTAAGTACAACACTAAAAACAACATGCAAGTAAATAAGTTCAACAACAATGTACTTGTGTAAGTTAAACATCTGTTAAATCATCGGAACACAGTTAATTAAAAACTTAAGCTGCAAATGAAGTCGAGACTATCACGTTTTTCTCGAACAATTTAACAATGTAATGCATCAAAGAGATACGAAATATTTCGTCATTAGCAGTATCCCTTGTCTGTCTAATCATTCCCTCCCAAATCTGATAAATAATGATTTTTACTTTTACTATTGCATGTTCTATTTTCATTCACAGTCTAGCTTACTTTGGAACCCTCAGAAGGGATGATGCTCATCTTTGCCCCACAGTCCTGTAGTTCCCTAGCATATTATGTTTCAATTTGTGTTATATAAATTTTTATAATATCGCAGTAACTAAAACATAACAAAAGTATCCAGATGAACAAATACAACTTATTAATGTTCATGAAATGAAAATTAAAAAACAATCCATACAAATAAATACAAAAAAAAAAGCTGACGACGAAATTTTGATATTGCCACGCACTCAATACCTCTTTTGAAAGGTAAAACAGTTATTTCATTAATAAGAAGTTAAACCACAAAAATACTGAACTCCGAAGAAAATTCAAAACGGAAAGTCCCTAATCAAATGGCAAAATCAAAAGCACAAACACATCAAACGAATGGACAACAACTGTCATATTCCGGACTTGGTACAGGCATTTTCTTATGTAGAAAATGGTGGATTGAACCTGGTTTTATAGCGCTAAACTTCTCACTTGTATGACAGTCGCATCAAATTCCATTATATTGACAACGATGCGTGAATAAAACAAACAGACATAATAGGTAAAAATATCACATATATTCATCATTATTATTGTATTGCAAACCTCTTTTACTCTTTACCTTCCAACAAACCTCCAGGTCAACCAATAATCACTGGATCACAACGCTATGATTTAGGAGATACAGTAACAATATCGTGCAGTTCTACAGGAGGAAATCCTTCACCTACAGTGAATTGGCTGAGAGATAACAATATTATCACAACTGGTATAAATAGATTTTCAGGTAGTGGGATGACAAGAACAACGCTGACCTTTGTTGCTGGTTTAGAAGACCACCTTGAAGTGTTTGAATGTCAGGCTAATAACGGCTATTTACAGAACCCTCTTGCGTCGACAACATATATTGAGTTGTACTGTAAGTATACGCTCAGAGTATTGCAGAAGATGTTAACAAAAGTAAGGTTTGCGCACATAATTAATTGGATGCAAAATCTGTGATTACATGTTCTTTAACGAGTCAATACAGCAACATCATGAACATGTGCACCGCTTATTCCGTGAAACAACGATTTGATTTGCAAGAATAGTTCCCATAGATATTATGGAAAATACTCATGATAGTCACTTTTAATTTTTTATCTTGTAAAATTCTGGTTTTCATAATTAAAATTGTTGTATATATATCAACAATTTGGTATGATTATGTTTTAATAAAGCTTTGGTTCGAAAGATAAGGTTATTAAGACAGACTCGTATTCGTGATTTTTATTTGAACTTCACACACAATCGTTCCTAGCATAATTACGGAGTTGGTATTCTACTGCTAATAATAGAGACGGTAAGGAACGCATTTAATAGATTTTGAAGGGAAGACAGCATTGAAGACGAATGACACTTTGTTCTTGATTGTCCGTCTTATACTGAACTTATAAGGACACATTTTGAAGATATTATATTAGATGTCAACTATAACAAGTTTAATTTATTATCTAAAACTTTATTGATAAAAATATATCCTAATTATATTTTATCGTTTATTGAGACTTTTTATCAAATCCATGACACAAATCGAATATGACCTATAATATTTAGGTGACTTTAACATGTTAAAGACTAATTTGGTCGGGTGTTTATGTATATTTTATATTAAATTAATATGTTAATCAACACATTATTGTAACTAAACATGTCACTATATATAATAATCTATTTCCCTACACGTAATTTTCGTCTGATCTGTAAGTTTACCGGTTGTTTCTTTGTTCATATTGTGATAATATACTGAATGTTACTTCGCATGACGGGTAAGGCATTTATAGCAAGAGACAATTACCCTGTCAACGCATCGTGTCTCGCTCTTTTTGGATGTAATGTGATTCTCTAAATATCTGTCTCTTCCTTATCGATTTACAAAACTAGGACATAGCTAAACTATTGTCGCCTTATTACATCTCACTACAAGATTGACAACTGATTTAAACAGTTATTCTATAATTCGGGGGATACTAATTTTTGCCAAAAAAGGGGATTAATGAATATTAGGTTCAATAAAATGCAGTAATGGTGTATGCATAATTTGTGAAGTCACAAAATCAGGTAACCACGCAGAAGCATTTTATTTTCAATCAACGAAAATCGATGACAAAAAAAATAACTTAATTCACAGTATCTTATAGATAAATATCATTTGATTACATCTTAAATGTTGTCATTCATTATTGTACAAATGTATTTGTTCAGTTGCTCCAAGGGTTCCAACACTGACTGGTCCTCCAACCCTTCCTTCTGGATCCTCTGGAAAATGGACGTGTTCTTCAGCGAATGGATACCCTGCTCCTACCATATCAATGAGAATCCAAGATAGGCAATATACAAACGAGATAATTGTTGTACAGTCATATGATGTTATTGACAGAAGTTATACAGTAACTGGTACATTGAATTTAGTTCCGTCGATTGACAAAACTGGACAAGATCTTTGCTGTGATGTTAGTTATCTATTTGATAACAATGATCCTCAATCTACTTGCTTGCAATTAACAATCAATGGTATGTTGGATAATATTTTGTTTTTAACATACATTTTACCTCATTCAGATTGAAAATGTGCAGATTGGAAATCACATGTTATAACAAAAATTTGACAAAATAAAAAATATGTATTTATTTTTTCTTTATTCTGATAGTATCGGTTTTCAGGTTTGTAACTTATTGATACTGTTTAAAATATCAAATGCAAATCACAATATGAACACTTTTGTCGACTGAGTGGATCGGACGAGTTCGAAAAGCTCGATATTGTGTACATCAGATAATATCTGTAAATATCACTGTGATGAAAACATAATTATCGTGTAATCGATTATTCCTGTCTAAAAAAAACAACTTTTGTCGTTCTTGAATCTGAAAATTCCTGTCGAAGTATTATGATGTTGATGATTTATTCAGGTCACTGTTTAACGCCTTTTTAACGCTTTAAGTGTCATAAAATTGTAATATATACGGATACGGAATATATAATTGATGCGAAATTTCGGGCTTGTGTCTCCTAACATGATTTCCTTGATAGAGGATTGCTGCTCACAAGGAAGCTATTAAACCAAGAGTTCCAAATCGTGAAGTTGAAGTCGTCCCTTCGTAAATTTTACGGACGCCATCACGAGTTGGTTGACCGTTATGGAATAACCGTTTCACAGATGATATCGGATATGTTCCTTATGTCATAACTACAATACCCTCCCTTTTCACGAATGTGACTCGACTTACCGAATAAGACTATTTACCGGATTTGTAATAACATAAGCAACACGATGGGTGCCACATGTGGAGCAGGATCTGGTTACCCTTCCGGAGCACCTGAGATTACCCCCAGTTTTTGGTGGGGTTCGTATTGCTTAGTCTTTGGTTTTCTATGTTGTGTCATCTGTACTATTATTTGTCTGTTTGTCTTTTTATTTTTTGCCATGGCGTTGTCAGTTTGTTTTCGATCAATGAGTTTGACTGTCCCTCTGGTATCTTTCGTCCCTCTTATATAATTGAATTAAGAACTTAGCAAAGTAATATAAGCATACAAATGATTTATATAGCATATGATAAGCAAATGACATGTGACTAAAATTGGTTTTATACGTTTGCATTCCACAAAAGCACAAACCTATAACATAAGGTATACAGAGACGCGCGAACATATAACTAACAATAAAAAATTAAAACATCACTTGATATAGATTATGCGTCCTTCGAAGCGCTCTTCTGGATCCATCTTCATCCGGAACGCTCAAACCGAGTATTTGAATGTCAAGGGAGTGTAAAAACACAAACATTGACGAGTTATATGAGTAAAAATGATTTACAATTAATAGCAAAATCCATCTAACATTACTTTTGCCTGAGGAAGATGAAACGTTGGTTTCTTTATAATTTATAAATTGATATAAAGACATTTTTAAAAAGTATATATGTTCGTTAAAAATCATGTCAGTACCAAAGTACTGACTAATGAGCTGGCGATATTCTAGGGAACTGATAGCCAAAAGGCAGCGGTATCGATCCTGTGTAGTATAAAATTTAATACAACACTTGATAAATTGCATACATCCGAAACGCTTTTCTGAATTAACCTTCATAAACATCGAAACCGTACAAACGACGAATAACGTTCATATTATAGAATGCTCTCTAATGTCATATATTTCATTATTTATCAATACCAAATATCGGTAAATTGTCTTCATTTTGCAAATCTCTAAAACATTATATATAGTATACAGCATTTAGAAATGAAACAGTAAATTGTAAAAAAAACTTTGCAAGATCGCATAATTATTTGCAGAGAAAGACGAAGACAATATCATAATTTATGTCGTGATTGGAATTTTTGCAGTGTTGGTTCTATTTGTATTACTTATTTTGATAATACGGTCCAGAAGAGGTATGTTTACTTAAGTCTTATTAAAATTTACTTGATGTATTTCCAAAAATATTATGGTTAGCTTTTTACCATAATAGGTATATATTTTTTGAAATTACAGAAATTTCTTTACTTATATTGTTTACTATGTCATTGGATATGTTATGATTCAGCTTTAATTAAAGTATTATTTCTAACATTGTGCCCTCTCCTCAAAATGGCTCAGTAGTTGGTCTTGTTTTCTTTCCGGTTGTCATTTGGTATAATATTTTGTTTACCTCATTTTATTTGTTTTAATTGTTCTTAAAAAAAATTGGACACAAATTTAAGTCCGCAATAATGATTCCGACATTTACTTAGAAAAGTGTTTCAAATCCTGAATAAAGAATGGAGTTTGAAAGCAAGACCTAAGACAAAAACATTTCAATAAATTATTGTCTGTTTCTGTAATTCAAGAAGTATCAGTTAAAATTTCGTCTTTTCATTTCTTATAAGTTTTATAAGAACTTATAAAGAAAAAAAAAAGAAAAAAGATTTTTCATTTCACATGGTTAAGACCAAATTTATTCTACCAACCAGTCTTATTGTTTATATTGGATCCTCTGGCATACTTATTACATTCTTTTATATTATTAAAGATTATATTTTACATTTCAGAACAAAATCGACTTAATATTTATATATTGTTTCTTTCATGATATTCCACATAATGAACCTTTTTTTATCAAATTAAAAATCGGCAGTCTTCAGCAAAGTTCTTGTATTCCTTGATTTTACTGTAAATGAACACTTTTAGGATACAAAACAAAACTATAGTGTTGACGTCGATTACATTTGTAATTTCAAATCAAAGCCTCTTTACTTGTCGTAAATGTTTTATACATGTAGTTGTTGAAAACTTTAGATTTGATTAATTCGATCAGAACTGTATCAATGCATAATGCTGGCGTTATTGGCTGGTATAGAAGGTAATACTGGGCAATAATTTTTGCTGAATGTTGTTTTCATTGTTTGCTAACAGGCAAACACTGTACACATAAAGCATCATAGAAAACTGAAAACTGAGCAACACGAACCCAACCAAAAACTTGGGATGATCTCATGTACTCCAGAGGTGTAAGCAGATCCTGCTCGACCTAGATTATTTAACTGATTATGTCAAATGTATAATCCATTATAGACTGGTTCATTTAATTCAATTGAAAAATATAAATTTTAAACGAGATCTCAATTTAAAAAAAAAACAACAATGAAATCAATGTAAGAATGCGAGACTCGGAAAGTAAGAAGGAAAGTATGTGATTAACATTAAATTATATGTCTAACACGGCATATATATGTTCAGGTCGAGAGAAAAGGAAAGATAATGCACAGTGAGTATAAATATTAGAAAAAACGAAGACAACACGTTATAACTTTCATGCGTCCGAAGCGCTATTCTTGATTTACCTTCATCAGGAATGCTCAAAGCCGAACTTTTGAAAACCAAGAATGTACAATAACATAAACAGTTGAAGAGCAATATGACGAAAGAAGTTATTCAGATTGATGATGTTGCAATGTATTTCGCATTAAATATATTTTTTTCAAGATGAAAACAACAAAACATATATTTTTTTTTATTTATCGCATATTTCATGTATTTGTAAACAAAACCTGATCACAATATAGAAGTACTTTCTAACTAAATAGTCTTGAGTTGTCAGTAAATACATGAAACTAATACATCTATACACATGAAAGAATATGAAATCATGCATGTCAAAGAGATGAAAATGCTTTCAGTAATGAAAAAATATATAACAAAATTACCGAAAAAAAAAGTAAATTTAAAAAGGAATGTCCAGAAAACTGTCAAAATCAAACGCTATCAATCAGTTTTACAAGATTAACCATTTAAATACTAATATATATATAGGTGTATTTTTTTAAACTCTCATTCTAGCAGCAAATACGTATCCCAACAGGCAGCTTTTTCCAACCAGCACGATAATGCAGGTAAAAAGACTCATTAATCAAGTATCATCTACATATCGACTTCATATCATATAAGAAAACATCTCATTTATTCAGATTATTCACCATAAAGGGATGCAAGATACAACGGAGCATTTAAACTTCATATTTAGTCGACGGAACACTGACAACGCAATTACAAAAAGCAAAAACTACGAAGACACGAACAATTACAAAACAAAACACTACATAGAACACGAGAGTTTGAGCTACACGAACCTAACCAAAACAGGAGTGCAACCAGGTGCTCTGGATGGGTAGTTGTTCCATCTCCATTTGCTGTAAATTGTTGAAGAAGATAGCTGAGTTGTGTTTATGTTCAAATATTCCTTTTTTAAGTAAAACCCTTCCTTTTATATTTTTCTACTTTTTGTTATTGACATCATTTCTCATTCTTTTTCGAATTTTCTTGTTTCATTTTAAGTAAACAGTTGATAAATACAGATATAATTTACAAATAGAGTATCACAAGTACAATACTTATAATCTTTGAATACCCCGTTACAAGATGGTAGATATAGCCTAATAAATCTGCCGAACTAATAGTACAGTGTTGCTTATCATACCATTTTATATTACAATTGAATTTATTTTTGGAGGTAAATTTCACATATATGTAAAAACCTTATATCAATTGTATTTATCTCATATTGAAATTGTTATTATTATTTTTAAATAATCAGTTTATATTGCAGAACTTATTTTTGCAAACAGCGATATGAAGCTCCTGCTCTCCGACTGACTGCAAAATCCTAATTCGTATGCAAATATGGAGCTATTGACCATATTGTCCGTAAACTTACACTAGTTTTCAAAACATAAATTTGTTTAAATAAACTGTACCTCTGCATTTCTGTTAGCAGATTTGTTATGAAAACATAATTCCTTGTAGGACCAGACTCTTTACAAACTAGGAATGATGTAAAATGCGGAATAAGGTTAATGATAGCAGACATACTTTTATTGCCAGTTACATCATGAGTAATCCTGACATTAAACTCATTACAGATATCAGGCTTATAATTTGACGTGTAAGACACGTTTGACTACATCAGACTCATTACATCGCTTGACTAAAAACATTAAGAAGGCCAAATAGTATACGAAATAACATTTATAACCGAAACGTTGATGTCTGCTGAGCACATGTATGTTTATAGGTTAAAATGCCATTAGATAACATGATATCACGAGATAGCAAAACACAGATAGTAGTTTTTCCACAAATTTAGTACTGAAACAAATTTACATGTTATTATTTGTTTCAGATTATAGTACACATCGAGATTGTGACAGGTACGTTTGTTTTACAAATGCAAGTATGTCAGATAAGGATGAATGTATCTAAAAAAGAGAAGAAAATAATCACAAGATAGCATACACATACAAATACACGTTCAATAAATAAGATGAAAGCAAACACAAACGTGGGTAAATAAAACAAATAAAGAGACAAAAGAAAAAACGAACTTGATACTAAACATAAAATAAACCTTCACGCAGAATACACCTTATAGAAATCGGGTAATCAGATTCTTCATGGGCATGATGGGTGATCAGACAGTAGATGGTCTTTGCAAAGCATCATGTCATCTCCATATAACAAATGAATTTCATAATTTGTGTGTTAGTGTATAAATATTGAATATTTGTCACAGGATATGCAGAAAATAGCAATAAATGAGTAATTTGATATAATGTTTGAATCAAATTGTTCACGTTATCATTAACACACCCATGATTAAACACTTGTTAATTATGTGATTTAGTACACTAATGATTAATCAGGCATTATGTTGTGATAAAGTGCAGGTAATTACAAACATGCTATAGTATAACCATGATTACACACTTACGTTTCCATTAGGTCTAGTACAACAATTCTGCCATGGTCTAGGAAAATCATAATAACATAATTGGCATCATATTGAAATCATTATTTACCTATCTCACTGTCGTTAGTGTATTTGATAATCAAAGTTACTAGTAATCTAAAACTATCTATCATTGGCGACGTATTCTTTATAATTAAACCGTTATAATGAAGAATTAAAATCGAATAGTTTATGAATTTTTCTATGATCTATAGAGATTATGACGGGTTGGATTCAAACAGACGAGAGATGCACGTTTATAACACATCACAAGACAATGAAGAGTATAGTCAGTATTCGACAATACCAGCAGACCATGTGTTTGTGGACCCAAACCATACAAACCTGAAACGAGAAAACACTTATTTGGAACCAGCCCATTCTAACTTGAAACAAGACCATACTAACTTGAAACCAGACAATACTTACTTTGAACCCATAAGTGGAAACTCAATGACGGCTACAACGTAGAACACATAACGGTCGAAATAAAAATCTGGAATTGTCTGGAAAAGTTGTTTATGAAGGGAGGGATATAATTATTGCCAATAGAATCACTTTAATCAACATATATAAACCTTTAAAATCGCCATGGATACATATTTCATTTATTTAGATCATTAGGTGAACATACTTGTTTATATTAATATATGGAATAATTTTCCTTCAAACTAACATATGATTATGACATTTTCCTTTAGATAGCAATGACAGTGGTAATTTGTTTTTTTTAATTGATTGAAATATCATTATAAACGATATTAGAATTTACATATGTATTCTTAAGTTGCTGCAACGTTTAATAACAATATATCCAACACATAAAAAATAAAACTTTTAACATTTTCAATTCATGCATAGCATGAAAAGGGGAGCTAACATCAATTCTAAGTTACATTTATCTTTAAATACCTTGTCGAATGTCTAACTATGATAAAATAAAAAAGACAATATATATAAAATTATCTTTATGGAATTCCGTTTGTTTATTGTAAGACCGTAAAATAGACGTTTTACTAGAAATGGGTTCAGCTAGATAATTTATAAAAAGTAGTAGATTCGAAAACTAACGCTCGTTGATAATCGTTTACGAATCAACGTCTTATAAATTCTCTGTAATTTATAACACTCTAGAGTCCTTTGTGTGTGTCTAATACAATTACATCGTGAAAACATAACTTTGCGTTACCTGCTTCGTTAAAAAACACATTTGGACACAGAGGTACAATAAATTGATAACACAATGTCCAATTGCACGCAAGTGTCCTCATTGATATATTCATGGCTCTAATACATGTATCCGAGAATAATTTTCAGAATAATCAGAAACAAATATAAAACTTCCTCGTGGAAGGTTGACTTTGGATTGATTTGACTTGTAGGTTTCGTCATTGTTTTGTCATCTAGCTCATCATTTGTTCAGTGTCTTTACATCTTTGACTTTTCAAGGTTTGAAAGTCTGGGCGTTCCTGATTAGGTTAAATCGTAAAAAGCTCGTTGAAAGCACTATATTTGCAAACATTTTCATTTTATTTTGATTGTTTAATATCTTTATATTATTTAATCATGTTTTAGTGAAAGAAAAAAAGAAATTTATTATGTTTAATTCAGATTTAAGGCAGCTCATTGTGTAATGGTCAAAGAATGCATGATATTTTCCAATAGTTCAACTAAATCTGCTACTTTGATTTCATTGTCATTAAGAGTAGACTGTAGATTTGACAACACCTCTTGTATTTGTACAGGAAATAGTTCTGGTCTCAACAAATGTTTCAAAAAAAGTTGAATGTATATGGTATATATTTCTTTTCGTGTTATATCCCGCACATGTTCCAATCTTGCAACCTCTTCCATAATCACAAAACGTGTTCGATATCTCGTCTATGTTCAGACGTGTACATGAGAGGTTGTACGGACATGCATTAGAAGTAATATTTTGTGAATAAAGACATAGCTTTTCAATGTTGTGCATATAATCTAAATCAATTAGTTTAATCTTGTTTTTTACTATCAGAAAATGCGTTTTCTTGAAATCGCCTATTTTCAAAGATCCAAATGGAGATTTGTGTAAATATAATAAAAGATTAGCAAGATTTAAAGCATGAACAAGTCGGTCATTCGTTCTTAATTTTAAATTTTGGATATCGAACTCTTCACCATACTCGTAAACAGCTCTTATATCATTTAGTAGAAAATCTTTGTATCCTTCTCTGTTTATATATCGAACACAAAACCCTAACATCTGAATAAGACCAGGATGTTTTAATTGGTCTCTTAGTAATATTTCCTTCATAAAAAGAGCCTCTCTGTATTCCTCACTAATAACCTTTGGGTTAATTTCAGAAATCCTCTTCGTAACAACCACTTGTCCTTTAAACATCCCAATATCAACAGTTTTTGGTCTACCTCCTCCAACGTTGGACTTCAATATATGCACTTCGTTAATATTAGTACAGTTAAAGATGTATGGATTTTCCAAAAGCATGTTTTTCTTTCCAATATTTTTGAACTGTAATAATCGAGAAAAAGTTTCCATGTCCGTCTGGAAAATGAATTTTACCTTCGATTGTTCAGACCGTCTCGATGTTGATTTGACAGTACCTTGGAAGTTAGCGACATCTAGTTTCGTTCCAAGGAAAATATTCAGGCAAATCAATAGTTGTGCAAATGTTGCGATGAAGACTTACAATTTTAGTTGTTGCATAGTCTGAATTGACATTTGAGATTGAAGTATCCTCGATGATTGAACTGGTGGTTAAAACTATCTGTTTACGAATTAGCGGGTACTCCCTGCCAAAAATTCTTTGTTTTTTTTCTGCAATGAAACAATAACAAAAGAATTTTTCTTCTTGTTATTTTCATATTCACAGTAAATTTGAAATGGATTTTTGTGTACATATCGATGATAATGTATATGAAAAAATATTTTTGTATTGATTAAATTTTCTATAGATTTACATGCAGTTTACCATGAACATGTATCGGTGACTAGACATGACTGAAATCGGTAACCTGTTTAATACAATATCAAAGTTTTAGGCAACACCCGTGGCATACCATTGTGTAAAATGTTTACATACTGTGTGATATAAGGGTATTATGAGATGAAGTAAACATAATCAAGATCTCACTACGATTGCCACTTTTTTTCTGGAAAAGCCTTCATCAGTTAGACTCGAAACAAATGATGTTTGTGTAATTGCATTATTAGCACACTGAATTTACGATTAAAGTATCATTCAAATCATACCAGAACACAATCACCTATCATTTAGCTGATCTTGTCAGTTGAGACTTCGATTGACACCGATTGGAAGTTGTTATGTAATGGAACGAAATAGATTACAGTGCATAGGACACGTAATCCTGGTATAGCAACATTATGCAATATTACATGTAATAAATGTAACACATTGAAAACAACTAAACTAGTACAGGTCCTTTACCGGAAACATGTCTTAACTAAAATCATATAAGGAGTAAATACTATTTGCGTTATTACATTTGCATGAACTGTTTCCGATCATAGAAGTCTTTCAAAGGAAAGCTATAATGGCGTAATAGGTTCAAACGCTAAATACGATTTAATTTATTAAGAAAATTCAATATGTAAGATCTTACATACATTGTACAAGCATGAAGTTAATGTTTCTAATACGTTGCTACAAAGGTTAAATTGTAAATACACATAGTATATAAGTCTTTTAAATAATGATATGAAAATCGCTTGTTCGGATATATTTGATAGACTGAAACCAGTTTCAACATTTAGTGATACACGCAAAGTTTCTTTACGGGTGAGAACATACACTTATTATATAATTTAGTGCACTTCCTTTAGGAAAATGAACAGAAAAATTTCACCTATTTGAATGTCACATGATTTAGATTCATGTGAATCTCGTGTGAAATTCACATGATTTTCACCTCAAACAAGCTTACACGTAAAACTCATATGAACTGTTTTCAAAAGTGTGTCATGTGAATATAATGTGAATTTTCAAAGTGAAATTATTCAAATAGCATCAAAAGTTTTCGATTTTACAAATAAACATAAAAATTACCAATTTTTTATAACAAGTTCATGTGTTATTCAGGTCAGGTGACAACATTTCACATGACATTCATGTGGATCTCGATTCACTTGAAATTCATGTAAAAATGTCACGTCAGTTTTTAGTATATAGTCATATGAAACGAGTAACTGTTGAAAAATAGTGATAATCCAATTCTTGAACCAATGCATGTATATATCATAAACTTAGTCTTCTATGCACCATTTTATCATTTTTTACGCACCCATTTCGTATAATCGTCAAAAAAATATTTCACTCGGTCAGTGTTGTTGTGAAAATATGGCAGCTAATTAATGGTCGTGTTTTGAAGCCGAAGTTTACCGATTGTCACCTTAGTAAACAATCAACCAAGATCATGGATATTCAAGTAAGCACGTGTATAACATGTACAATAAGACATAGATTATTTCGATGACGGAGCGATGTTTACGTTTGTTGACTCTCTGCCAATTTGGTTTTCCCCTTTGCACTTGCGTAATTGTGACCACCGAATTTTTACGAGAAAGGTCACGCTGAGGTAACTGCATACGGAAAACATGTCGGCGACGTGTTGGCTGGAAGCAAACAATTCAGAAAAGCAAAGCGTATGGTAGACGTTCTATTTCTGTACTCCTTCGCGGTTACATAAAATCTTTTCATCTTTAAAATCTATATAAGAGTTTGAATTTTCAAATATTTCGGACTCCAACATCAATGAAGAAACATTATTTGTACATCATTAGATTCATTGATTTTGTCTTGAACTTTAAATAGAGTATTTCACATAAAGACAGCTCTGGTTTATACCTTTAACTTTAGCTAGAAATAAAATTGAAGGTGTCAACAAGGGATAATTTCAATTATGATACAGTTCTAAAATAATAAAGCATAAATATTTTATTATGTAATGGTATATGGTGCATGGGCGTTTATTATATGGTGCACGAGGAATGTATTACATTTAAGTGCGTTTCAAATAGCGGTAATAGACTTTTCTTTTCCCTCAATCGTGTATAGGTTTTAGTGTAATGAGGTTTGATGCACGGTGTAATGGTGTATTCAATTAGTAGGAAGTTTTCAGCATTTAAGGACCGTTATTTAGTTAATTAATGAATTAATTTGTTTATGATTGGTTGTTGGATGCTTAACGTCCAGTCATGCATGTTCAGGAAAAGAACAAATTAACAACTAATACAATAGGTAGGTCCTGTTATAGAGGCCATCCGGGATGGAGGTCGGAGAAATTTTGACTGCCACTAGATAAGGGTATATTGGATAGGGACAGACATTTTTGCCTTGCAACAGACAACCTACGGACCCCTCAAAGAGTTGTTGCAAGGGTTCTTAACGCACAAAAAGCGTGACACTCTCATTACACGTGGCATCGGATTTAACATTCCCATTCTTATCGGACGTGGCTGCGTAATTGTACATCTCGCATAGCCAAACGGACGCCCCACTTTGGCAAGGGTTTTACTGCCGATGAAAATAAGACCTGTAGTGACCATGTTTCTATTCTCCAGTCACCCCTGGGGGATGTTTTTTTATGTATCAACCTTCCACCGAAACGTTTATAAATATATGTCTCCCAGTTAACATGTTAACATGATATTGCAAAGATTACATTTCCTTACATAATTTTTCTCCGATATGAGATACCATACAGCTGATAGGGTATTATAAACCTGAAGTTCAAAGTTGAACTGACAAGGTAGACCGTTGTGGGATGTCTTTATTTCAGATGAGTAAGGATATGTTACATTTGTTATTCAAAACTAAAATCCTGCCTTCAATTGTATATAACTTTTCACCGAAAGCAACTTTTAATCGAATGCTTACTTCGAATGAGAAGTATACATTTGTCAACAGGGTGGCGTAAGAACTAGTTACTGTATCTTAGTATTAAAGTTTA